TACTTACAGCTCCCTTAATAAACCTGACATAACCTGACCTGAAGCTCTTGTGAACTCTGTGCAAGATATCCAAATACATATATTGTGGCATCTGCTTTCCTTTATGTGCACTTTTCAGTCACTTCCATGTTAATATTTTTATATTTTTATCGTTTAGGTTTGCCCTGTCATCCAAAACTGCTTCGTTGATGCTCCTCTTCTATCTAGCTACTGGAACATTTCATCGTGTCTCCCCTTCCTACAATCCACCAATAACGCCTTAACCTAGCTTCGCCGTTCTGCTTCGTTGTGTCCGTCGTGAAAATATTAGGAAAGCAAACATTGAAAGAGCAATCCGAGTCTACAGATCTTCCACCTACTCGGATCATCACAATATAACTGTACTGTCGACCGTGTTTATATGCATGCCTAACCGAAGGACAGAGTAAGGGCGGTCGACCTAATATTTATATTGCTCTTTTTCCAATGGCGGCTTTGACTCTGCGGAATTACGAGGAAGACAAGCGAGAAATCCAAGGATTCCTGCGTGAGTTCTATAAAGCTGAACCAGATGGCACCAAACACTTTGTTTACCTGGAGCAGCTGGTACAATAACTTAGTGAATTTTTACCCATTCTAAATAGACCAAACTTGCAAATCGAACTCAGAACGTTTTACATGTGTCGTTGGATGATTTGTGGGATACCTCAGAAGAATTGACAAGTGCCGTCGAATTCAACACAGTGCGCTACCAGAAGCTCTTCGCAGAAGCCATTGATGACCTCTTAACCGATCTCCACGAAGGCGAGGTAAGATGATCCTGCAAAACTAACAACTCTTTTAGCCCCAGATTCACGATGTTCTCGATATTTATATTGACCACCGTATCAGAATGGAGCAAAGGATGCATGCCTCAGATGCTGAAAACTCTGCCGTTCCACTTGGGCAGCGTGATGCTAACTACAGGCCAACCGCCGCTGACATGAGGGAGATACGGTCAAAGTTTCCGCCGGAACTGTTAAGACGCTTGTACGTGTTTCGTTTGATTTGCACTTTTTGGTCGCCTGATGGGCTGCTGATACACCCGTTTGCCTTAAATTTTCCTATGCTTCAAGTATAGACATTCTCCATAACGTTCGTTCATCCCTTTACTCTTGCTCAGTTTCTAAGACAAATTGTCCTCGACGAGGGAGTTCGGTTGGACTGTAGGGTAATTTTTGAAGGAATACATGTTCAAAATGTGTTCACCGTTCTTTCCGTGACACAATATTAGAGCGTGTCACATAATAATTACCGAAGTCTGTGAATTCGGGTTTTAGGCTCTGCAAACGTAAAATTAGATTTGACTAGCTGATTGCAGCTGATAATCCATAACTGGTAATTTCAGTCTCCCTTTGGTTTCCCCTTAAGTACGCAAACCGATCTGCCTAACTCGTCAAACGGTATTAATATAAAGAAATGCGATCTTCAATTGCGCCCAACAAGATTTAGTGGTTAGTAG